GGCTCCCTCCCGCCCTAGTCACTCCATTTTTTCGCTGAGTAATTCATTTTTCGGGGCTGATAAGGAGATTGTCAGCTCCGCGGACTAGGCTGGGGGTTGGAGAGCTCGGCGCACAGCGGCATCACCGCGCCGCTGGCACTGTCTGATAAGCCGCGATAAGACATCTCTTTGATGTTCAGTTAAGTGTAAAATTAAAATGTGTGAAGAGCCGACGGGTTTGAGCGGCAGAAAAGTGGAAAGAGTAGATTTTGCTTTGCTTTTTCTTCTCTGTTTTTTTCCCCTTTAACATGATCCACCTTGGCAACCTGTTACTCCTTATTTCTCTCTTTCCCAGGAATGAAAGGAAGCCAATCGATCTCACAGATGATTGAGGTGCTCACTGCCAAAAGCCCTGCGGCCTCCTGCTCTCCTGTATTTCTCCGTTTCGCATATTCACTCATTCTGCCTTTGGTAGTATTTTTTTTTATCTACTTATGACGGAAAGGAACATTATCTCTTGCCGTTTCACAGAGCTGGAGGGGGCATCACTGTCTAACACTTCTGATTCCGCGTTTAAGTGTGAATAAAAAAATAGGACCTGAACGTCTGGTCCTCTCTCTCTCTGCACTGTGAAACAGCAAGTGATAATTAACATTCACTCCCATAATTCACAGCCTTGGCATACTCTGAAAATACACTGTAAACCTGGATGATATATCTATTACAGGTACGAATATGAAGTACGTTGGTGTTCTGTCTATTCTAGTATCCCTTCCCAGAGTTTACCTACAGCAGGTCCTCTTTAGCTGACCAAACATGGCATAATGTGCCATTTCCTCACACCCAAAGAATATTGTGTTTCCTTTCTTCTCTTTCCAGCATGGAGCAAACCTTTGCTTGTTCCATAATGAGCCCTCTGCTGCCCGCCGTAACGCTGGAGAGTGCTGTGATTGGATAGGACCTCGTTAATATTCATACCCACAGACCCCTGCTCTTCGAGAACGACCAAGACCCTGGGCAATAAGATTACATTCCTTAAATCTGGGCACCAGTTACCGAGCAGCTCAACTAGCAAATGTGTCAGTCATTCAGCAGCAATCGATAAACCAGAAGAAGTACTCAACTGCAAAGCCAGATGTCAGGCCCGTTATTGCCCCCTCTGGTCGAAGATGAATGTCCGAATGGTTAAGGGGTGACCACACTCTTCCGCGGGCCTCTGTTAAACAACTGCCCTGCTTGTGGTCAGCCTTAGCATTGTTCCTTCCCCGGCCAGAGCCTCTATTTATAACTCGTTCTAAACCCTCGGCGTAGTGCAGTACCTCAACTGCGTCACCTTCAACAGCGAACCGGAGGCCCGAGGCAGCAGTACAAACGTCAGAGCTGACGCTTCCCAGAGCGAGAAGAGGATGTGCTTCTTTACGCCAAGAGGTGTGGGGGAAGGGAGCAAACTACCCAACTGACTCACTGCGGTTCTCAAGATCAAGGAGATTTAAGGAGCTTGATGTTTTGTGATAATTTTGCAAGATGCAGTATGAAGAAAGAACATTTAATTATAATTATGAATAATGGGTAGATATCACATCCACAAAACAAAATGGCTCATTGCTGCTCACTCTTTTAATGTTTATGAGGTGGAAATTCAACACTATTTAAACTCCATCAGAAACATGAAAAATACGAAGCTGAGAAGGACAAGTGATGCATGTGAAACTCTGCACTTATTGTTCTGAGGTTCTTTTGTTCACATTTCTTTCCTGGGGTAGTTTCTCCTTGTGATATATGATGTTTTGGAGAAAAAAGGAACAGTTGGATGAAATTCTGGGAGCTGCTTGCGACAAGATGGGGGAAAAAAGGGGGACGAGCTTTTGGGGGTTTTAAAGAAACATTGGAGGTGGGTAAAATAACATAAAAATTAATAATTCCACCTGGAGAAAGGAAATCTGGAAAAACAATGTGTGTATACAGATGCTGAGTGCATTTTCCTCAGGGAATCTGGGGTATTTTGCTACCGGATCGAAATCGGTGTGCTCCGAGCACCCTGCCTGCTCCTGGGATCACCCCGATCCACATCCCTGCCAGCCCTCTTCCCAGGGAGCCAGCCAGCTCCGCACACAAAGACGGATCAGCGCAGGTTCCCGTTTGCCCGTCTCGGGAGAAGCTCGCAGTTGAAAGTCGGAGAGTGACTCAGAACTCCTCCGCAAGGCGATCTGGGACTTGTGACGGCGGAGAGAAAACTAGGTCTGTACCCCACAAAGCACTTCTCTTCGAAGCTGAGATCTTTGTAAAACAAAATATTAAAACAACACACACACACACACACACACACACACACCATCACTAGCAGCACTTTACCCAAAGCTGATCAAAGAACTCCAACCCTCAAATCTTTTTTACAAGTATGTGAAACTTTTGCGGCCTGTTTTTCTCATTTTTTTCGGTTTGTTCTGCTAGGCTTTAACAAGGTTTGGGGGCTTTACGCTTCAAAGTGTTCCGAATTACAGGATGAAAATCTCAAGGGCAACCGATTACAACCTTTTTCTCCAAGAGCAAGGATTCTGATAGAAGAATAGATGCTGAACAATATGCTGCAGTTCAATGTGCAACTATGCAGGGGAACCAGACCTTCATTGTCTAAATCTGATCGTTTTTTGCATCGATGGGAATTGGGAGCTGTTACCTAACTTGTGTTTTTTTTATACATGGGGTTTTCAAACCTGCGTGCACACTGGCCAGTGTTCTGTAAACAGTGTCTGACCTGTCCACTCTGCACCCCATCCACCTCCTGACCCCACCCAATAAAACACGTAGTCACATCAGGGCTCTCCAGCTGGCACGCACCAGGAGCTGTGCACAATTCGTCCGAGGAGAAATAAAACCAGCAGCTACAGACAATGAGATAAAACAGAGCTCAGCCCCGATTTTAACCTTCTCTGCTGCCCTCGGCCATGGAGCTGGTCTGGGCTCAGTGGAGTGCGAAATCGATGCGTGTTCGCCGAGACAGGAGAGGGAGGGAGAAAGAGAGCGAGAAAGGATGAGACGCACAGTGCCGGTTTATGGGCATAACCCCCCCCCGACCCCGACCCCAGGAAACAGAAATGCGCTGCACATCACTGTGGGCTGTTTCGAATTCATTTTCTAACTGCATGAGCCAGACACGGGCCAGCGGCGCAGAGAAAGAGACCAGGCAGGGACAGAGAGAGAGAGAGCGCTGTTCCTGAAATGATTCCACCTGCTGCAGAGAGGGACGATCATCAGACATGACCACAGCGAGAATAATCACATCCGCAAGAAAGCCACTTCTTCCCTAACTGAGGATATCAGCTTAAACACACTGCTAGAGAACCCAACTACCTCCGTATATAAATCCATCATTTATGTATGATCTATGTCAGAGCAAGTCTAATATCCTGGAGACTTAATGGCTAAGGTTAGAATTAATTAATTGGCTCTGCAGGTAGCTCCTCTGACACGCTCACCTTCCAGCCATTCATCTGCTGACATGTCACGGGCAGCACCGCCCCCTGCTGGAGGGTCAATGCTGACTGGAGGAGAGGCATGCCAATCACCCAAAGCCCTGCAAGCCTACAAGAGCCCAGGAGCCCAAAAGGGTGTCTGAGGGCTGGGAAAGGTCTGGTTGGCTAATCCCCACCCTGCCTTCCACAGCTCTCAGACAACAGAGCGCCACCGCTTGGGGCTAGTGCCAGGGCCCAGGCTCGAACCCGTGATCATGGTGCCGACACTGGCTGAGAGTGTTGGAGACAGAGCCCCCGTAAAGTCGGTCCTCGCCTCTAAAGCAAAGAGGCAGCAGCTGCTGCTGAGCGAGTCCTTTAAGAACAGGCGGAGCTGGGGTCGCCAGTCAATGGCAGGATTGTCCCAGAGGCAGGGAACAGAGACACCAGTGTGTGAGGCTTGGCTGGAGCTGGGAGCGCCCGGACGACCTCGAGTTCAGCGAGTCATGACCGGGGTCTTCGCTGGCCCCGGGGCAGAGAGCGCTCTCCCGCAGCCCCAGGCCGGTGCCACATTAACACAGCTTGACTCTCACATGACCAAGCAGCCGGCTCCGCGGGGGGGGGCACGATCCTGGGAACAAGCTGGACAAACGGCAGTATTCTCCTCACTTTACTAGCTTCTGTGCCAACAC